CCCCAAAACCCCAAAACCCCAAAACCCCGAGCTGAAAGTGTGCGGTTGAAGAGATATAATGATGACACTTTGAGTGATTATTATTTTTGTAGTGATAGTTCGAATTTTTTGTACCCTTCTAAATCTATTATTAAATTATGAGTGATTTGGGAAATGTAGATTTTGACTGGATTTAAAGATACTAATTATTTTTAAGCATCTACAAGTTTAAAACCATTTAATTTCAACTCAATAATGGCATACATCTTTCTTGTGAATTCTTCTTCAAATATAAAAGTTTTGCAACTCTTCTTGAGATGTTCAGAGCTTGATAAAGTTTCGATGAAGGTATCTAATTCATCTGAATTGCTTCCCCATGCACAGTTGGTATCTGACTCTCAGCCTTTGAACCCTAATTTTGAGATCTTGCACCCTTCTAAAGCGTTTGATAGGTAAATAGGGCATTGTAAAATGAACTTGCATGATACAAACAGCATTTCTGGCAGATTTTTAAATACCTTCAAAGTTTTAACAAACTGCATTCTGGTGAGGTCTAACCGATGCAGCTCGAGTTTCTTCAAAACGCTAGAACTGATCTTAAGTAAATCTTGGAAGAATGGAGTTATCCTTCTGTTTTGATAACGATGCAATAACAATAGGGCTCCTAGATTTCAATATTTCAAGATTTTAAAAAATGAGTTAGTCTGCTTCTCATTATTTTCAGTTAAATGAATTTCTATCAAACTAAATACCGCTGAGAGAGGGACTACACATAGCTCTCACATTATCATATCTTTTCTTTCTGGCCTAAAAGTAAGACATTTCCTTTTGGTTAGAATCTTGACTTTTCAAAAATTTCGGATACTTTGCTATTATTGCATCATTCGATACTTTTTGACATGTTCTAAGAGTTCTTAATTCTCGTTTTCGCACCTTTTTCTGAGCTGCTCTCTGAAGGAACGAATCCTTATTTAGTTTGAAAGACGGCTGTCTCTGTGTTTCTTTCTTTTCTTTTTTATTTATTTTCTTGATTTCTTCTTCTGTTTCATTGTTTTGGAAGGTGATTTCTTCATGCTGATTTTGGAAACAAAGGGCTTTAATGTCAACCAATTGCTTATTTACAAGTGTGAGTCGTTGTAGGTACCAGATAAAGTTTTCTCGATCCTCCTCTTTATTTAGATGAAGCAGTCACTCTCTTATGGATCCTGAAGCAGAAGCTAGTAATGATTTAGCCTGAACATTGTAAAGGAGACTACGTCCTTTCAAAGATGTATCCTCATACCTTTTAAAGTCTCCCTCCAAATCATCACCCTCTTTGACTTTTGGCTGAATTTCCCTCACTCAAATCTCTCAAATATCAAATCCCTTCCTTCTTATTCAAAACCCAGGCTTAATTTCCGATCACACTTGTCATCTCTTACCACTCTCCATCACCTAACAACCTCTAAACCCTCTCACCCCCACTCTCTATTTTTCCTCCCTACGCCCCAATATTTCGCCTGCCCAAATTAAATTCCCCCCAATTCCCCTTTTTCAACTTCCTTCAAAAATCCTGGGGTTTTGGGGTTTTGGGGTTTTGGGG